AGTTTATTTTGCTCACGGAGTCCCTGGCTGGTATGAACTTTAATATTAATGTTAACACATTCCCCTGCTTGCTGAAAGGTTGGAGGTTTGAGTCCACCAGACATACCTTGGAAGAAAGACTTGGTGATCTACTTTTGAAAAATCTCATAAAAAATAATAAAACAAAACCGTTGCTATCATTTAACCAGCGACTGAAAACCCTGTGGAACACCATTCTTCTCTGACACACATGGAGTCACCATAACACCGAGTCAACTCCAAGACAACAGGTTGTTTTGCTCACAGAACTTGGGCTGTGAAGACTCAAATAGCTAACAGTAGAGGGTGGGAAAACTGGAACAGCTGAGGCTGCTTGTGTATCTCTTTCTCTCCTGGTCTCTCCACATGGTGGCCTTAGGCTGACTACTCCATGGCAACTGAGCTCCCAGAGTCTCTAAAAGGTGAGACGGAGACAGCCAGGCAGAAGCCTCAATGCCGTAAGACCTAATTAGGAAGGCAATTGCAGTGTTACTTCCACCGCATTTTTTAGAAGCAAGTTCTCAAGTCCAGCCAATATTTATGGGGAGGTGAATTAGACTCCACCGCTTGATGGGAGGAATGTCAAAGCCTTTGCGAACATGTTTTTAAAGTTTTTAAAGTCATTTCTCCTCTCCAAAATTCTTGCCTAAATAAGTGCGGATGCGAAGCTCAGGGGCAAGTGATTCATTCAGTGTCAATCAGCCAATCAGCTGTTAAATGGTTTCAGTTTTTGCAACTCTAAATTCCATGCTCTTTTCTATTACCCCAGATCTTCTATGAGCAGCACTATCTAACAGTGTAGTGTTATGGATTGAATTGTGTCCCCCCAAAATACATGTTGTAAATCCTAATCTCTATGCCTGTGGTTATAATCCCCTTTGGGAATGGGTTGTCTTTGTTATGCTGACGAGACAGGATTAATGTAGGGTGTATCTTGAGTCAATCTCTACTGAGATATAAAAGAGATTAAACAGACAAGCAAAAGAAGCAGAGAAGGGGAAAGACAGATGCCAAGCCACATGAAGATCGCTCAGGAGCAAAAGAGACAAGGACCTTCCTTTACAGCTGACAGAAAAAGAAAGCCTTCTCCTAGAGCTGGCACCTGGAATTTGAACTTCTAGCCTCCTAAACTTAGAGAAAATAAATTTATATTTCTTAAAGCCATCGACTTGTGGTATTTCTGTTATAGCAGCACTAGATAACTTAGACATGTAGGTAAGATATACGGACACACCGAAACAAACCCTCACATGGATTTAATCCTTCTCATTGCCTTGTGTCATGCATTGAATTTTGCCCCCCCAAAAATGTGTGTATCAATTTGGCTGGGCCATGATTCCCAGTATTGTGTGGTTACCCTCCATTCTGTGATTGTAATTTTATGTTAAAGAGGATTAGGGTGGGATTATAACATCACCCTTACCCAGGTCACATTCCTGATCCAATGTAAAGGGAGTTTCACTGGGGTGTGGCCTGCACCACCTTTTATCTCTCAAGAGATAAAAGGAAAGGAAATCAAGCAGAGAGTGGGGATCTCATACCACCAAGAAAGAAGCACGAGCAGAGCGTGTCCTTTTGACTAGGGGTTCCTGCACAGAGAAGCTCCTAGTCCAGGGGAAGACTGATGACAACGACCTTCCTCCAGAGCTGACAGAGAAAGAAAGCTCTCCCCTGGAGCTGATGCCCTGAATTTGGACTTCTAGCCTACTAGACTGTGAGAAAATAAATTTCTCTTTGTTAAAGCCATCCACTTGTGGTATTTCTGTTATAACAGCATTAGATGACCAAGATACCTCGGAAAACATACTTAAATTTATTTTGCAAGAAAAATATTACCCATAAACCAGTTATGCATAAGTACTTTCCAAGTTTCTCCCAAACATCTGTGTTTTTTAATTTTTCCCCCAACAGATGTATTCATTTGCATTTTCCACAGATTAATCACTTTTATTTATTTTTGTTACTTTTTACTGTATTTCTCACCTCTCAAGATCCTTTTGTATTCATTCTCAAAGCCACTATTTATGTTAATACTACCTCCCAATGTGGAGCCTTCCCCTGATTCCATTACCATCATCGTGTGCTCTTCCTGTGGGCTTTTTAAATAAAACATTCTTCAACACTAGAGTCTGACGTATGGTCTGAGAGGCATTCTTTCATTGTGTTAGTCTGTTTATTTCTAAGAGGTCAGAAGCCCCACAGTTGAAAATTTCTGTTAAACCCAAGATAATCTGAACCATCACATCTTAGAAAGCCTGTGAATTTGATCAATGGTGTGGATCTGAAATCTCCAAGTGTTGACCTATCAGTTTTTGGAATTCTAGGTAATAAGATAAGTTGTCTATAGGAGATTTCCTGCGTTTGGGGATTCCCCAGCAGTCCGCATCCTTTCTGCTTTCCTTGTCAAAAGACTTGGTGGGAGCCCAATGTGAGAAGAAGAGAAAATAGATAAGCGGTTTTCAGTGGATATAGGGGTCACTGTCTAGACCACAGAAATATAATGCAAGCTTCATACATACTATTAAAGTTTCTAATAGCCACATTTTACAAAGTAAAAAGGTGAAATTAATTTTAATAATATATATTAATTTACTTTTATTTTTGTTGAAAATACACACAACAAAACATACACCAATTCAACAATTTATACATGTACAATTTAGTGGCACTGATTACATTCTTCAAGTTGTGCAACGATTCTCACCTTCCTTTCCTGAGTTGTTCTTCCCCCATTAACATAAACTCACTGCCCCCTAAGCTTCCTATCTAATCTTTTGTGCTGCTTTTGTCAATTTGACCCCATATATATAGTTCTTTTAAAGAGCATGATGCTGAATGCATCCTTTACTAATTAAGCTAAACTAATGTTTGGTTTAAGGAAGATTTCAGGGGATAGTTTTGGTTTAAGGTTTAAAGATTTTCTCAGGCAATGGTTTCAGGGGTTCATCCAGCCTCATTGGCTCCAGAAAGTGTGGATTCCACAGAATTTTAAATTCTGTTCTGCATTGCCCCCCTTTTGATCATGATACTGCTATAGAATCTTGGATCAAAGAGTTCAGTAATGGTAGCTGGGAGCCATCCAGTTCTTCTGATCTCCTGGTAAAGGAGGCAGTTGTTCACGGAGGCAATTAGTCATGAATTCCATTTCCTCCTATTCCTGACTCTCCTTTCTGTTGTTCCAGGTAAATTAATAATATATTTTATTCAACCCAATATATCCAAAATATTGTCATTTCAACATGTAATATATATAAAAATATTAACAAGATATTTTACATTCCTATTTCCACACTGAGCCTTTGAATTCAAAGTGTATTTTACACTTATAAACCAAAGACAAACCAAACCATGCCGTAGAGTCCATTCTGTCTCATATCGATCCCATAGGACAGAGTAGACCAGTCCCACAGGTTTTCCAAGGAGCGGCTGGTGAGTTTGAACTGCTGGCCTTCTGGTTAGTGGCTGAGTTCTTAACCACTGCACTGCACCACCAGGGCTCCATTCATGGCACATCTCAATTAAGACTAGCACTTATCAACTTTATCAATAACCAATACTTTATTGGCCATGGGCATAAGTAGACCCTTCGGATCTGATGCTTCATTGGGCCTCTGGGACCTCAACCTGTTCTCAGATTTCACACCTCTTTATCTTTTAAACCTCGGGTCAAAACATCCCGGGGAAGGAATCCCACCTAAAGTAGTCCACCTCTTCCCCGTCATTCTCTATCTCGTTAACCTTTTCTTACTGTCTTCACAGAATCTACCTTGTCTAAATTGATCTTATTTATTTGCTTACCTATTTATTGTCTACCTTTTTCTCCACTAGAATGTACTTTTCACGAGGGCAAGGATTTTTCTTTCTTTTTTAAAATTTTTTTTTTTTTTTTGTCTCTGTGATTTTCTGTGCCAAACACCGTGTGTGGTACATAGTGAGCTATCAGTATGCTTTTGCGGAGCGGACAAATTTCAACTCTCTAGAACCCAGACAAAAGGGTCAGTTTAGCGGCGCGTCACAGGTGGGGCGACTATTTTCCGGGCTGCTGCGCTCCGCACCAACCCCCGGCGTGGGTGTGGGGTGACTGGGTGTGTGCGGGGGTGTGCGCGATAGAGCGCGCCCGCGAGCCGCAGCGCGGAGCCGGGAGGAGCAGCGACCGCCGCGCGGATTCCGCAGCGCCGGCCGGGCAGGGCTGCTTGGAGGTGGGTGGGCCGCGCCGCCAGCCCGCCTGCGGGGTCCCCATTGGCCGCCTGCCGGCCGCTCTTCGCCCGGAAACGGCGAGGAGCCGAGAGGCTACTCCCGTGCCCAAGCGGGAGAGCCCAGCGGAGCCGACGCCGGGGACATTGTTCCCGCCGCGGAGGGGGGGCCCGGCGACCCTCGCGGCCGCGGGATTTGGGGACTGCGCCGGGGCAGACGCGCGGGGTCCGCGCCCCCCTCTCGGTCCCTCCCTCTGCTCGCGCCACCGGCCCAGTTGTCTCCGGCGCTGTCGCCTATGCTCAGCCTCCGACAGCGCCCCAGAGGGAACCGGGGAGCTCCCGGGCGCCCGGGTGAGTGGCCGCGCGCTGCTCCCCCGGCTCCTCCTGGGCCCCACCGCCTGCTTTTGCTTCCGCGGCCGCCGCGCGGCAGGGTTTTCCTGGTCAGCGCCTCAGGCAATGAGGAAGGCCAAGGCGGAGGGGAAACTTGGCTGCGGGGAGAAGTGGGATCGGAGACGGGAGGTGTCCCAGCCCCGCAGGCCGGGCCGGAACAGGTGGTGCGGGCCCGGCCGGGCGCTTTGTGTCGGGGCGCGAGGACCTGGATCGGCGGCCGCGCCTCCCTCGGCCGCTCCCTTTCCTCCCTTGCTCCCCCGGGCGGCCGCACGCCGGGTCGGCGGGGTAACGGAGAGGGAGTCGCCAGGAATGTACCTCCGGGGACTGCCTGGCTCGTGGGGGTGGGTTGGGGGCGGTGGCCCAGGAGGTGCAGGAGCCTAGAGGTGGCGCGGTGCAACTACCGCTGCTGCAGCCTGGAGAGGGATTCTTTCTGAGAGGCGCGTTCCGCCCCGGCGAGGGCTTCATTCTTCTGAGGCGCTTCTGGAGGTGGGGAGCTGGGTGGGCGTGTATACCGAGAAACGGGAGGCTGGAGGCCAGTCTCTCTCCGAGCCGGTTCTGTTCCGTCTGGTTCGAGGACGTGGACCTTGGGGTGCAGTTGTGCCCGGCCCCCCGCGCGCGCCGCCTTTGCGGGGCTGGGGGCATCCCTGGCCAGGGTTTAACAAAGGGTACTCCTCTCCGCCTGGTGGGAAAGGGCAGCTCGGTGTCTTCCAGACACCCCCAGCGGGAGACGTGGTCTTCCGCGACCGAGTCTTAGCCCTGGGGAGGTCTACTTCCTTTTGGGGTTGTCATTTATTATTTTATTGTTTTTAAGGACTGGAGACTGATGCATGAGGGGCCCACGGCGGCGCAGGAGCGGTGGTGATGGTTTGGGAAGCAGAGCTGAAGTGCGCTGGTCTTTGGTGAGACGTGACAGTTTATCATGACCGTGTTCAGGCAGGAAAACGTGGAGGATTACTACGATACCGGCGAGGAACTTGGCAGGTACAAGGGGGTGCCAGGAGCGCACGCTCCTGGATTGTGGGAATGTATAATATTGGGGCAGTGGGTGGTAAACACAGGCAGTTTGAATCAGGCGTCTTCTTTGCCCTTCCAGGAGGTGGACAAATTATAGAGAAGAGAGTTACTAACCTAGTGAGGGCCAGGGACCAGAAATAAACCGCCTAACCCACAGGGTGTGAGGGTGGAGGAAGCAGCCATTCAGTGCTAGATTATGATGCAAAGTGTGTTGATCAGAACCCCGGGACCAGAGCAGATTTAATTGTCCCCAGTACCTCTTGTTAGTTTTTATCCTTCTGAGACAATGAGGTAAACGCGAAGATTATAATTGCAACTAAAGGTTGCTATTATGTGATTTAAACCGGAAGTGCGGAAGTGCACACTAATTAATAGGATGTTAAAAATCTTAATGCTTCCCCCCCTTTTGAATTTTCAGAGTACCGTGAGCAAGTATAAAAGATAGTGATTAAATGGAGACTTGCCAGATGTTGTTGATGTTGGACTTGAATCTTGAAACTTCTTCAAACCAGGAATTATCCAGTCAGTGTTGTTGGTTGCATTGGTTTCATTTACCATGTTAAATTTTTAACAAATAGATGAGAGTCTAATATGGCTATCTGAATTGAGAGCTACTTCAATTGCTGTAGGAGCTGTGATTCTCAGTGTGAAGTCTTTCAGTCTCTAGGTGAACTAAGAATGATTTTGGGGGACATTGTGTGCAGTTACTGTCCTAAAGTTGCAGGTCAGCTCTTGAGATTTATAAGGGCTGTATGGCTGTTTGTCTTTGACTGGGTATTTGACAGACGTGTTGAGCTCTAGTCTCCTTTAGCAGAGAACTCAGTTTTCGTACACAACACATGGTATTTGACTGTGGTATATTTGCATTGTGACTGAAGTAGGCAAAAGGATCTTTAAACAAACAAAAAGTATGTATTCACCTATATGTGTATCCCCCCGCAAAAGAAAGCAAACCACATCCATTGCCGTTGAGTCGATTCTGACTCATAGCGACTCTGTATATGTATATAGAAATATATAATTTTCCACACACACCTGATGTTCCAATACAAAGCTTTTTTATGCATGAAAAGGGGATTCAAAGACACCCACACCCTGGATTACCTAATAAGAATTATGACAATTGAGCTTAACTAAAATTTTTTTTAAAAATTCAAGTGATAGTGCAACGTGAAAGTAATTTTTAAAAAGTTACTCTTACAGAATATATCTGTATATATTGACTTCAAAACCTGGACAGAAGCCTGTGCTTAGGAGGTGCTTAATACATTTGGGGGGACTTAGTGAGCAAAGGAGTAAGAAGGAATACCCTCAAAAATCACATTTCATGGTATATTTAAGATTGAGGTTTAAGAGTATGTGGTTAAAATACTTGGTTTAGCTAGAATTAAATCACTTTAGTCCTGTGGTTTTCAGCAGCGCTAATGGCATATAGAATTTTCCTTTGAGACTGGGGAGAAAAAGGCAAAAAATTATATTTTAATTTAGTGTGTGTAGTGTGACCTGATTATCTAAATTCTATTATAAAAAGGGATGAGTAAAATTAGGTGAGAGGATTGCTTTATGGATATAACTATGCTGACCTTATTTTTAATTAAGATCTTTTGGCACTTGACTACTAAACTAAAGGTTGGTGGTTTGAACCCACCCTGCAGCACTGTGGAAGAAAGGGCTGACGATCTGCTTCCGTTAAGATTACAGTCAAGAATACCCTATGAAGCAGTTCTACTTTGAAACACATGGGTTCGCCATGAGTTGGAACTGGCGGGACGGAAAAGTTTTTTTCACCCTCGGTTTGGTAGAATTATGTGTTATGAGAAAGAAAAAAAATGAGGCCTCCCTGTGGCTGGTGAGGGGACTTTGGGATCCTTATCTTGTGGGCGTGATGATGAGCCCTTGCCTCTCTGCTGGGAGGTTGTTTGCTCATTTGTCACTACCATTTCACTTTGATTTGGCTCTGTATACATTTTTTGTATACAGTTCTCCCCACTGTGCAAGACTAATTGACAGACTGTTTACTAATTTATTTTAGGTGAACTGTGAATTTGAAGGAAGTACTCTGAAAAGCTGGGGGTTGGGGATTTTTTGGTATAAAGTGCACATGCTCATCTATCTGCTGTAACTGCTGGTTTTTTGCCTAAGAATGGGGTGAACGGTAATTTTTTTGGGAAGGTTTTTCAAGTCCTGTAATTTACATGTCTACCTTGGAATTAGGTACTTTCCAAAAACAAGTCCTGACTTAAAATGGACATACAGGAAAGATGTTGGTTTTATGACTTCATGTGTCGTGGGGAGAAGGCTGGGTAGAGAAAGGAGTTTCGTGGCAGGGGAAGGAAATGGGCACACATTGAGTACAAATGCGAGACCGTTCTAAGCAGTTTTATAAGCAGACCAACATCTAGGATTTAAGACTTTACCTACATATGTTTAGCAGTTACCTAAATAATAGCCACTCATATTCCTTATACATGCACGGAGTAAAAGTCCATAGACAGGTTTTTAAAGAAACAGAGTATAGTTTTATTATTATTATTTTAATTTTTAGGAGAACTGAGAGAGAGCGTGTATGTAAGAGTGTGTCTTATATTTGTGTGTGTATCTCGGTGTATTGCCCAAGACTGCTGTGAAAGTTCTCCATCAACTGTAAAGAATTTTAAAAATAGAAAGTATTATGACTGTTGCAACAGTGGTAGAGTAGACAGACCACTGGACAGGTGTCCTGGTCACTTGCTAGCTTTATAACATTGAACAGATTACTTACCCTCTCTGACCCTCAGGATCTTTATCTATGAAATGAAAGGCCTATTGCTCATTTTATGGCTATTGTGAGAATCAAGTAAGCTAACATATGTAGAAGTACTTTATCAGCAGTAAAGAGCTAAGGAAATGTAGATATTATCTGCAGGGCTGGCTGAGACGTGTGGGTGTTCCAGGCAGGCTAATAATTTGGCCTGCAACTCAATACTCTTTAAATATCTGTTCACCGATTTTGGAAGGGGAGGCCCTGTGGGAAGAAGGTCACTGGGGAGATCCACTGCCTGTAGCACTCGTGCTTTCCACTCTGGTCCTGAATAATTCAGCTCTGGCCTCGAACATGCACACCCGCTGCTAGCAAATACAAGTCCCTGTAGTAAACGGGACCAGCCATCTTTAGAAGACAGCTTGATAACCTCCTGTTTGACTCCAGTAGACCCCTTAAGGTCTCACCTTCTGTCTTGGGAGGCTGAACAAAGAACTGCATCCATCACATGTAGCAGTGTCTGAGAGGAGTTCTTGCACATGCTGTTTTCTCCGTCTGCTGTGTTACTTGGATCGTGTTAGTGCCCCAAGATGCTTTAGCATCACTTACCAGTTGGCACTTAGAACAGCTGCAGGCTGGCTGTCCCACCACCAGCTCTGATTTCATGCCTGGTCCTTGTTTAGCCTAACTGGTGAGCCTTTTGGGCACCTCCCTGAACATGGCTTTCTGAAGGACTGGCCTTCTTTCCTCTTCCTTTATCTGACCTCTTTTATAAATTCATCCACAATAATTTCTCCTTGTCTTATGTCCTACTCTTGGATTTGCTCCTTGTAGCTAGCTTGTAAGTTCCTTAGGGGGCGTGCTGTGGTTCAGTATTATGGTCCTCTCTCCCCAGGGCCTGCAATGTGCTGTAGAACATTGTTGTTAGTTGCTGTCAAGTCAGCTCCAACTCATGGAGACCCCACGTACAACAGAACGAAATGTTGCTTGGTTCTGTGCCATCTTCGTGATCGTTGGTATATTTGAATCCATTGTTGTGGCCTCTGTGTGTTTTGAGTGCCTTCCAACCGAAGTGGCTCATCTTCCAGCACGATATTGGACGCTCTTCTCTTGTGATCCGTAGGGTTTTCATTGACTAATTTTCGGAAGTAGATTGCCAAGCCTTTCTTCCTAGTCTGTCTTAGTCTGAAGTTTTGCTGAAACCTGTCTACCATGGGTGACCCTGCTGGTATTTAAAATACCTGTTGCATAACATACAGCATCATAGCAACACGTAAGCTGCTACAGTACAAACAAACTGACAGACGGATGCTGTAGATTACTGGGCAAAATATCTGATCAATGAGTGTCTTAGTTTCTTAGTGCTTCTATAACAGAAATACTATAAGTGGGTGGTTCTAACAAACAAATTTATTTTCTCACAATTTAGCAGTCTAGAAGTCTGAATTCTCAGCACTGGCTCTAGGGGAAGGCTTTCTCTGTCAGTCGTCTCTACAGGAAGGTCCTTGTCTCTTTATGGCTTCTGTTTCTGGGTTCCTTGGCAATGTTCATGTGGTGTGCATTTTCCCTTCCTTTTATAATTCCTTCCCTGTGTCTAATCTGCTCTTTCTATATCGAAGAGGTTTAAGACATAGCCTACACTGATATGGTCTCATTAACATAACAAAGAAAGTCCTATTCCCAAGTGGGATTACACCCACAAGCATAGGGATTTAGGATTTACAACATGTATTTTGGGGGGACACAATTCAATCCATAACAATAACTGAATGAGCGAGTGCGGATGGGTAGATGCAGTGTTGAGACAGGAATGGCGATGTAAGATACTGTTGATGCTGCTGATGCAGATACTGGTGGTGAAGGGGCAGTGTGAGGTGTGGAACGGTCTCAGTATGCTCATTTGGAAAATGGGAGACACCTACCTTCACAGGGTGTTGTAAGAATTAGAGACAATGGGTGTAAACACATAGTCACTGCCTAATATATTATTTTTAATCACCTGTTTTTCCCCATCACAGCATTTACCACATTGCACAGTAATTGTGTATTAGATTATCTGCTTTCTTCACGGGCCTGTGACCTTGGACTTCCTCATCATTTTCTTTTTTAATTTTTAATGCCTAGTTAGATGCGTGACACTTAGTAGGTGCTCAGTAAATGCTTGCTGATCGATTGAATGGATTAATATGTATAAAACATTTTGAATATATATGTATATATAGGGCTC